AGGGAGGGAAAAAGGAGAAGAAGGAAGGACCACAAACCTTGGCACTAGATGCCGCTTCAGAGGATGCTGTGAAACAGCACAGAAAGAGGGAGGAATGGGAGAAAGAAAGGGGGGGAAGGGAGAAAGAGAAAGAAAAAAGAAAGAGAGAGAGAGAGAGAGGAAAAGAAGGAAGGACCACACCTTGGCACTAGACGCAGCTTCAGAGGATGCTTTGAAACAGCACAAGAAACCAGGACTGGAAGGTGCCTGGAGGTCATCTAGTCCAGCCCCCTGCTCCAGAAAGTGAGTTTCTATCTTTTGACCCCCAGTCATATAACATGTAGCCATGCCCACCAAGCCATGCCCACAGAACCGGTAGTAAAAAAAAAAATTGAATCCCACCATTGATATAGCCAGCCGAGAATCATCAAAACGTGAGGAATCAAATGACAGGAGCTCATCTGATGTGGACCTCTAGGCATCATTTATTAGCTAAGGAGACAGAGGGGGCACCGTGCTCTCATTTTCAAGTCTTTGAGGCCGAAAGGGTCGAAAATAGGCCATTAAAACATTCTCACTTCTCTTCCCATCCTCCTCCTCCTCCTCGTCCTCCTTGGCGGTGGAAGCGGCAGCCCTGCTGTTGTCTAAATGGACGAACCGCTGCAGGAAGGCAGCCCCGTTGTGTCGGAACAGCCTTTGCCGAAATTCTGACGTCATGAAATAGTAGAGAATTGGATCCAAGCAGCAGTTCAGGCTTGCAAGGCACAAAGAAACGGTGTGGATGTTCAGGACGTGGTGATGGACCAGGCAGCTCCCAAAGACACCTTGTTTGACCATCATAAAGATCGGGAGGTTGACGTGGTAGGGAGTGAAGCAGATGAAGAAGACGGCCGCGCAGCCCAGGATCAGACGCCAAGCTTTCCGCCTCTCGTCGGCCTGTTGCAACGGAGCATGAGAATCCCGCAGCGACTGTCTCATCTTCCACGTGCAGTAAAGAATAATTGCAAGAGGGATCAGGAACCCAGAGAGCTCGGCTACCACCATCAGCGTCACAGAGGCTCCCCGCGTTAGCTGCTTCACTCCGAGGTCGGCAAAGCAGGCATTGGCATTGTTGGTTAAGCTCGGGCTTCTCAGGATGGGGAGGGGCAAGCAAGCAGCCCCCACCATGATCCAGACGATGGCACTGACAGCGACGTCATGCCTGTAGTTCCAACTCTTGGTTCGGAAGGGATGAAGGAGAAAGAGATACCTCTGGATGCTGATGCAAGTGAGGAAGCAGATGCTGGCGTACATGTTGAAGTACTTCAGGTAGAAGCAGGATTGGCAGAGGAAGCTCCCAAAGGGCCACGTGTGGTTGATATAGTAGTACATCCTCAAAGGCAAGGAGAGGACATGAGCCAGATCAGCCACGGCCAAATTCATCATGAAGACGACCGCTTTGCTTTCCCTCTTGATAAAGCAGCACAAAACCCACAGAGCAAGGCTGTTGCCCACCAGACCAGGGATGAATATAATCACGTAAGTCGCTGCATATAAGGAGGCCTGGAAACCCATGGAAGGATCAGAACAGTTTTCAGAAGAATTGTCAGCCGGCATCTTGGTCTGGTCGGTTGACTTCCTGAACACAGTGGGTGGAAGAAAAGCTCCCTGTGAAGGACAGGAAAAACAGAGGCAAACACTTATTTCCTTCTACAGAAAGGCAGATTGTCAGCATTCCAGTAACCCCCCATTCCAACCAATAACTCCGAGGCAGACATCTTCTCAAAAGTTCCTTTTATTTGGATAGTAACTGGCACATCTGTGGAATCCTGAACCTGAAAGTTCCAGGCTTCCTTACAATAAGTAAAAACTACAAATCCATCCCTTGCACCCATCATCACATCACATGGCCCAATCACCATCCATCCTCTCACTATGCGCAACACGGCCTGACCTTGAACCAGCAAAAGAATTTTATTTTGTCTAACTAGATGAATGAATTCCCCTCTCTCACTTTCTCAGGCTCAATTGTGGCAGCGTGGAAGCATCAAATCTCAATACGGCTTCCAAAGCTGACATAGGTGACAGTGAGAAAGGAAGCCTTGAACACACATACCAAATTTATTGGTCAGATCATAAAGGTAAAGGTTCCCCTCGCGCACACATGCTAGTCATTTCTGGCTCTAGGGGGCGGTGCTCAACTCCGTTACAAAGCTGAAGAGCCAGCGCTGTCCGAAGACGTCTCCGTGGTCATGTGGCTGGCATGACTAAATGCCGAAGGCGCACGGAACGCAGTTACCTTCCCACCAAAGTGGTCCCTATTTTTCTACTTGCATTTTTACATGCTTTCGAACTGCTAGGTTGGCAGAAACTGGGACAAGTAACGGGAGCTCACTCCATTACGCGGCGCTAGGGATTCGAACTGCCGAACTGCCAACCTTTCTGATCGACAAGCTTAGTGTCTTAGCCGCTGAGCCACCGCGTCCCTTGGTCAAATCATATGGTTACCTAAAAGAAACATAGAATCCTAGGGCTGGAAGGAACCCTGGAGGTCTTCTAGTCCAAACTCCTGCCAAAGGCAGGAATCTGTCAGACCTGCTACAACTTAAACCTCTGAATAGAAATGATCCCTGGCTCCATTTGTTGAAACAGGTATGGTTTTTATTAGAAGTCAACTGTATTACAGTATTGCAAAGCCAGAACTGAGACTCATGCGCCAAAATCTCTTAAGTTCTACTTTCCCTCCCCTAACTATCTCTCATTGTCCACCCCATTGTAACCAAATAGGTTCAGGTAAGATGGTTTCATAACAGTCAGTCCAAGTGTGGTTTGGTACGTGGCTCCCTCCTTCTTCCAGCTGGGTGATCTTGAGGCAGCGTCTTAAGGAAATGCAGAATTTACTTTCATTTTCCCCAAGCCTTGCCACCTTCATTCCCACTCCCTACGGTTCATGGCAGTCTATCACTGCATAGCAGTGAAGCACAAGGAAGCATAAGGTGGCAGCTGACATTATCCTTACACCATCAGCGAGACCAGGGGTGGGATCCTCCCGGTTTAACAACCGGTCCGGTGGTCACATGCTTTGCACGCGCATGCAGCTTTCAAAATTACTTACCTTCTATGTTACTTCTAGGGAGTAACACAGCTAAGATGCAGTAATTCGCTTTGCCACACGAATCAGCTTAGATCGGTAAGTACAGCGGAGGGGCAGGTGGGAGCAATTCTGATTGTTGGAGAGAACCGGTTCACTCAACAGCCGATCGTCGGAGCTAGAGGTTTCCCCCAAACTGGTCCGAACCAGGAGAATCCCACCCCTGAGCGAGACATACCTTATTACAACCTCCCAAGCTAGCTGGGATCTTCCTATTACATTGCAAGTTGGAATCCAAGATATCTGAAAATCGAGAAAGCTATAATGCTTACCCAATTTTGTTTTGAAGGTGCGGTTTTCTGGCTTCTTTGCTTCTGCAGGCTCCATGGATTAAATCACACGGAGGAAGGGAAAGAGTGACTAACATAGGAAAAGGAACCTAAGTTATAATTATTTTTAACCAGGGAGTTTAAATCCTGCTCTATGTCAAGGGGTGGATTGACATGAATGGGAGGCATGGCCATTCATTTCCAGATGAGCCAGCTTTGAATGAGTTCTCTTCCTTCCTGTCTGCTGATTCTAAGCTGCTGTGATGATTTTCCCTCCTGAGGATACTTTAACTGTGAATATGGAAAGCAAACTCTCAACAGAAGCCAGCAGAAACTTCTCAAACCCTCCTTTGCCACTGAAAAGCTCCAATTTCTTTCCGCTTTCCTGCTTAAATGAGATTATTATTATATATCGTACGGCATGCTCATATCATATTTCAATAAAAACACAAGAGATAAAGATACGAAATATAAAATATAAATGTATGCCTAGTTTTTTTTACCTGTTTCACTCCAGGCAGGCTACATAGCTCAATATTGGCAGCTGGGAAATTATCACTCATCTTCAGGTCACTAAATGAATGGTTATAAGTCAAGGACTACCTGTATTTGTGTGCCTGCCTCTAGAATACAGAATAATAGAGTTGGAAGGGACCCCAGAGGTCTTCTAGTCTTCTCCCCCAATTACATTTTGCCCTTCCCATAGGCCTGGCTGAAGGACAAGTTGCCATTCCCATAGGCCAAGGAACTTCATTTGGCATGATTCAGAAAGAGAAACTTTCCTGCCATGTCCTCCCTCTCTGGCACACTATTACCCCCCAAAGTATGAGTGGTCCATACCCTGCCAGAACATGGACAGCATCTGGCCATGATGCAAACTGGGAAATTTGGAAATCACTAAATAGATTATGCCAGTGGTGAAATGCTACTGGTTTGGCCCGGTTCAACTGAATGGCCGAACTGGTAATAAAAAAAGCTACGGCGTGCGTTACATGAGCACTTTACACTTCACAAACGTGAAGTGCGCGATCACCAAACCGGTAGGGAAACGGGTAGAATCTCACCACTGGATTGTGCACAGGAACAGCAAGATCAAGAGATGCCTTGAATAAATGGGGACATTTGGTGACTTCTGCCTACTGTGAATAGGGAGATTTGTAGGCAACCACAAACCTGTACAGTTGTCCTATCTGCCCTGCTCAGTGTACTCTTGGGAGCCTCATAACAATGCAACAGAATGCAATCAACGTTGCGCGTTTCTGGGCAAACACCACCTAAGTTAGGCTTTTGCACGTTTTAAAGTTCATGCTCTTATGTTTGTATTTAAAAAGGTAAAGGTTTCCCCTGTCCAATCATGTCCATCTTTAAAGGGCAGTGCTCATCTCCATTTCCTAGCCAAGGGAGCCAACGTTGTCCAAAGATGCTTTCCGTGGTCATGTGGCCAGCATGACTATATTCCCAAGTGCACAAAACGCCGTTGCCTTCCCACCAAATTGGTACCTATTTATCTACTCACACTTGCATGCTTTCGAACTGCTAGGTGGGCAGGAGCTGGAGCAAGGAACGGGAACTCTCTCCATCATGCAACACTCAAGTCTCAAACCTTTCCAACTAACAAACTCAGCGTCTTTAACCACTGTATCAACATGCCCGTCTGTTTGTATTTATACCTACGTTTAAATTTTATTGATGCGTCTGACACAAATAAATTAAAAAATTCTCCAGCCTTTCAGAAGACCGTCAAAACTTGGATGTATCATCAGATCTGGGAATACGAAGGAAGTATGGAGACTATTAAATGGTTATATTATATATAGTTAGAGTGCACTTTCCTCTGTCTTTTCATTATTGCAATTTTAAATGCAGCTTTTGACTTTTTAAACATTTGTTTATTAGTGGTCAAAAACTTGGGTTTTCTTTGTGTTTTAACAATGCATGCTGCCCAGAGTCCCGGGCAAATGAGATGGTTGGCCATATACATTTAATAAATAAAATGCAACTGGAAACAGAGGTTCTTCACATAGTATTTGCTGAAATCATCTAAGTCGATCCATTTCTATTTTGGGTCTGTTTGTTTACAGACTACTTTTATACTTTCATATCTCAGCTGCTATGTGTGTATGGGAGGGGAATCTAATGGTTCAACATTGCTTGAAACTGTCTACCCTGTTCCTTTTCTTCCTCTTACTGCTGATTCATCCAAACCCTTCTAGAGGAAAGTAGCCAAAGTTGGGTGTTGGCTTAATGATTATTTAACTTAAGGGTCATCCATCCCTTTCCTGGTTGATAGCCCAACATTCTGATGTTTCCAAGCTGCTGTTTTAGCTTTGAGAGTTCTACGGATGGTTTTCATTTGTTTATATTTTTAGCAATGGGATATTTTCCATTGTACCATTTGTAGAGCCTTTCCCCCTACATGCCTGCTCTGGGAGAGAACTTCTCTTCCGCAATGTGGGGTTATGATCCTTTCCAAAAATATGTAAATAAACAGTCATGTACCCCTTCCTCCAAGAAAACAAAAACAAAACAAAACACGACTTCCAGGAAAGCGATGGGAACTTGGTGGACCTTGACCTAAACTCAGAACTCATAAAACAGTGCAATTTCTATCTAAGCAAGCATGCAAGGAAAGATTTTTGAGTCTAAAACTACATTTATCAGAAGAAATGTTTATGGAGATTCTCAATCATCCAGTTCATGGTTGTCCCAAAGGTGCTTTTTTTTTTCAAGAGGCAATAGAACTTTCTTGGGTTTTTTTTTTCTTTAAAAACGTTTCGCTTCTTATCCAAGAAACTTCTTCAGTTCAGAATGGATGAGAAATGAAAGATTTTCAAGGACAAAAAACCCCAAA